GATCAGCGACTCTATTGAATGGGCTATTGGTCTTTTATGTGTAGATTGTAAGACATGTCATTCTTTTGAATTGTATTTAAAAAACATAAAATATTCAGATGTTTTGTAAGGAAACAAGGAAAGTCAATGTGTATATACAATGCGATTTTATTTACAAATAAAGAGTCATGAATCTATACAATTACAATTAAGTCTATTTACAAATCCGTAACATCATTTGCATTAACCCAAGAGGAGAATCTGTTTGGCCAGTGGAGCCATTTCACATACATTTGTTTATTTCGTCCTTTGCCTCTTGTTTTCAGGACCTTTTCAATTTTCCACATATCATTGTCTTTGATATCCACTTTCTGTAGTTCGGATTGATAAAATGAACCCTTTGTCTCCTCATCGTTGTAGTCTTTCAGTATGTAAACAGGCACGGATTGTCTCCAGAATCGTTTAGCAACAGTAAATATTTCACCGGTCCACCTTTCATCGTACTCGCGTGTAAATATGTTCCTCAAATGTGTGATACGCACTCGGTCTCCGATTTTTAATTTGAATCTCCAGTTCTGTCTTTGATGTTCCTTATGCCCACTCAAATATGTAGCCACACGCACTGTCTCAGCTGTATATATAGTCACATCAATTAGGGCTATGTCGATAGTTCTATGTATTGTTTGGTTGTAACCGTCGGCGAAACTCCGTAACTTGTCAATGTAACGATATGATTGTTTGTAAGTAAAGTACCTGTACATCTTCGTCTTTATAGTCTTCAATACGCGTTCACTGATACTGGCTTTAACCTCGTTTTGTGCATACGTATGCCTAATGTTATATTCACGAAACAGAGACTGGACAACCTTCGCTTTGAATTCTGGACCTTTGTCCGTTCGTATCCTGTTTGGCGTTCGTCCCTCTGCCATTATACTTCTAAATCCAGCGACTACAGAGTTACCTGTCCTGTCCTTTATACTTCTCAGCCACAGAAACTTCTAGAATACATCGATGACAACCAGTACGTAGGTATATCCGTCGTTGTATTTTGAAAATTTGACCATGTCCATGAGGTCAGCCGACCACTGGTCATCTATTCCTGCGACGTGTATGTGGGTTCTGTGTACTGGTCTCCTGTTTGGTCGTTGTAAGCTGTAAGTTTCCTGTCGCTGAAGCCATTTTCTGATCTTGTATTTGCTAATGTCATATTTTCCTTCTTTCGTGACAAATTAATATAGTTTATCTAGTCCTGACAGACTCGCAGGCTTAGCAGGATCGAAATAAATGCCATTTAAATACTCTTCCCAGGCCGCCATGATGTGTACTGCTCGGACGTTTCTACACTTATGGCATAATTCGTAGGCATGCCTTACTTTTAATTGTCCTCATTTTCATTTGTGTCTTCTGTATCGCTTTCCTCGTCAGATTCGAATTCATCATCATCAGCATCTGATACATCATCATTTTCATACATACACTCCTGAAAATGGTGTTTGTTTTTCGAAAGAGACATTCGTACAGCAGCAAGGTTTTCATAACCATTTCGTCTGTACTTTTTCACAAATTCTATTATTTTCGTGTGCAGTTTCCCACCTTTTAGTTGTAAGAGATGAAGGAGTGTCTGCCCATATTGATTAAGGAATTCCATAAGATTTTCCTCTTCCATCTTTGTATCTGCCTTACTCTCAGCCTCTTTCTTCGAAAGTCCGTTTTCTTTGTATTTTTCTACCCTTTCACTCCATTTATCTTTGTTTTTAGCTTTAGCCCGGCTACACATCATTTTGAAGTATTTGTCCTCTTCCGAATCTTCCTCCTCAATTTTATCGGAAATATTGGAGTCATCATCATCAAAGATATTAGACTTATGTTTCTTGACTTAAAATTTTACTTCGTCCTCATCGTCACCCAAATTTCTTTTAAGTGTACCGTTTTCAGGACACCATCGCTTTACGTGCCTCTGTAAATCATGTATGTTCTCAAACATCAGACCACAATCGTCACAGGAATGCATGTCTAACGGCTCTGCTTCCGTTGCAGCGGTATTGTTGTATGCGGTTTCTTCGTGGTCGATTTGTTCAGGGTTCTTACTCTCCTGGAGCTCCTTGGGGCACGTCTGTCCTGTTGAATTGCTTTCAACTAAATGAGGTGTGGATGCTCCTTGTCGCCCACTTATAGACTGTGTCGTGACTTTTGGCTCGTCATCTAATACGCCAGTGCGCAGGCGCAGATGTTCCGAAGTTGTAGGCTTTAAATCCACGAGCAAATAACCATACGGTATGCTCGTAGCCTGTTCGAAGTGGTGCATAAAATGTTGAGCTTTATCGTGGTACATCTGGCCTGCCAGCGTCATGAATTGTTGTCTGTCTATGGGATTGTTAAATACCGTTAAATAATGACAATTACGTCTCTGTGTTGGATCCTTACTGTAGTAGAGGTTTTGATTTATAGCGATAACCGACAAGTTCCGATGATGGCTTCCTTCCGTAAACAAGTCGCTTATTCGCCGGTCTTTTGCAGCAATGGACATGAGGTCGTCCAAAACAATGACGTTATTCACGTTTGTATCTAGAAACTGATCATTCTCGAGGTTTAACGGTACTCCTTGTATGAATTCCACTTCGGGTCTGACGGTCGTTCTGATGACGTCATACAGAGGCTGCCATCTTTTGAACAGCCATATAATCCTTTCGGGCGGTGGACTCAGTTTAGTGATGTTGTCTTGTAATAGTTTTGTCACGAAATACGTCTTGCCACAAGAGGTCGGTCCCGACACAATCATCGGAAAGGGATGTTTAAAACAGAACTCTTCAGAATATTCAGAGCCTTTACAGTCTGTCGCTGTCTCAGCTCCCGGCATTTCATGCGCTCCTCCCGGTGCTCCATGCGCTCTTTCTGGCGCGCATTGCGCTCCATGAGCTCTTTCTGGCACGCATTGCGCTCCATGCGCTCTTTCTGGCGCGCATTGCGCTCCATGCGCTCCTCCCGGTGCTTCATGGCATGGCGCTCCTTCCAGAGCTCCATGCGCTCGTTCATTCGCTCCAGACGCTCCTGGAGTTCCATGCACTCCCAGTGTTTTGTACGCTTCTGAGTAACATTTCTTTATAAGCCTGTGTAGGTTGTATCGACTACAAAATGCCTTCTGACACTTCGAGCACGCAATACCATACATCTTTACACTTCTACAGTCAGAGTAATAATGATGTGATCTTTAAATGTAAATACATTTCATGAAGTTAAACGAAATGCATTGTGGGTAATTTCAATTGCATTGTGGGAATTATGATATCTTAATATTTTCTGGTGATCCAGGATTGGCCCTCAGTACCAGAAAATCTATCCCGGCAGTAAGATGGGGTATGACTGTTAGCAGTGTGGAGCATCGTTTTCCAAATCCAGCTTACTACAAGAGCACAAACGAATCCGAGGCCATGTTGATCAATTTAAATGCACTGTCTGTGGAAAATCCTTTGGACGTCAGGATAACTACGACAGACATATTTTACGACATGCCGATGCTTCTTTATTTCAATGTGGTGATTGTGGAATGTTATTTAGTAGAGGGGATAATCTACAGCGTCACCAGGAACAGAAACACAGTCAGTCTGGAGGAGGTGTTAAGCGACCTGCTGATACCGAAAATATAGATCCAACCCCAATAAAGAAAACAGCCAAGAAGACAGACGAACTCTATGAACTTCGTGTCGTTAAAGAGACTAACATACCTAAATTCCAGACAACAGCAACACACTACAGGGTAACTTTTAAAGATTTGGAAGTACACGGTATTGCAGACATTTTAAAAACACTGAAGAAAATTTTTCAGTCACTCATCGACAATGTTACGGAATTCATGGAGAAAAACGATTTGGTTCGATTATCCGTCGAATGCCCCGAACTTGACTTTCCAATCAAGCTATCTTTCATGAAGGTATCGGCTTTGACCGCAGAGAGGCTACTTTCAGAGATCGAGCGCGTGTTACAATCCTATGAACAATTCGTCCTTGATCAAACTCTCAAAGTGGAATTGGTTCATGTACATCTGCCCAAAGGTGGTGTAGGGAAGCGCTGTCATTTTGTTGATTTGGACAAAATGATGAAAAGTAAAAGATGTTTCATTCGAATCCAGAACAACGACCATCTTTGTTGTGCTAGAGCTCTCGTGACCGCAAAAGCACGGCACGAGAAACATTCAAAATGGGAAAGAATGCGACATGGTGGAAAGATACAAGAAACGTTGGCCAGAGAGCTCCATACAAAAGCAGGAGTGCCGCTACAGAAGTGTGGAATCGAAGAAATTAAACTATTCCAAGACGTCTTGGACGGATATCAGCTGATTGTTCTTACCAAGGAACATTTTAACGCCATCGTGTTTGCTGGACCCGAACGCGAAAAACAACTATACCTGTACCATCATGACGACCATTAGGATGTAGTCACAAGCATGCCAGCTTTTTTGAATAAGAACTATTATTGCACTCAATGCAAAAGGGGATATGATCACAAGGAAAAAAACAAATGCAATGATCCCTGTGTTTATTGCCATCACATTCATCCCGAGGATGTGAGTCTTGGAAATACTGCGCCGAATGCAACAGATATTTTAAGAATATTCTGTGTTTCGATAGTCACAAAAAGCCATCTATATCGGGAAAAACAACTTGCGGCTCGTACTATCGATGCAAGGCCTGTGATCAAGCCATCAACGTTGACAGGCATAAGGAGGCACACGTTTGTGGTGAACACTACTGTAAGACGTGCAAGGATTACTTTGCCGATGATCATAAATGCTACATGCAGACGGTTGTAGCAGACGAACCATCGCGAAAACAACATGATGGAACCGAGCAACTCAATAAGTATATATTTTTCGACTTTGAATGTACTCAAGACGACATCATAGAGTGCGAGAATGGCTACAAACAGGAGCTGGCAAGCGATGTATCAACTATAAAAAGTCCCGGTGTGGTTCATTCAGACATCAACCTAATCTGTGTGTGGTCCATAAAACGTGTGATGCCTGCATGAACCATGCTCTAACATCTTCAAGTACATGTGACAACTGTGGGCCAAACGAAAAGACTTTCAGAGGTCCCGAGACGACAAATACGTTTTGCAAATGGTTGTTTTCGGAGGAGAACTACGATGCCAAGGTCTTGTGTCATAATTTTAAAGGTTATGACAGTTACCCTATCCCCGGGTACCTATACGAGAATGGGATACTGCCAGAGGTTGTCACCAGTGGTTCTAAATACCTGAGTATTGACGTACCACAATGCCACATTCGATTCATGGACAGCATCAACTTCTTACCTATGGCTTTTGCGGACTTGCCAGAATCGTTTGGAATAGAAGAAGAATCCAAAGGGTACTTTCCTCATTTATTTAATCGCAAAGAAAATCAAGGAATTTGCCTGCCACATCTACCGGACATAAAATATTATCACCAGGACGGCATGAAGCCAAAAAGAAGAAAATCGTTCCTGGAGTGGTATGAAATACACAAAGCCGAACCCTTCAAATTCCAAGAAGAGCTTCTAAAGTATTGTCGATCAGACGTAGACATTCTCCGGAAGTGCTGCTTAAAGTTTCGGGAAATGTTTATACAAATGACGAATAAAGACGGCAGCGGCGGAATCAACCCATTTCAAAATTGCATCACCATAGCATCCGCCTGCAATCTTGTCTACAGAACAATGTTTTTAGAGTCCGAAAGCATTGGTATCATTCCACCACATGGCTACAGACCGGAGGATAAACAATCGATCAAAGCAATGAAATGGTTGAAATTCATCGCAAGTTCTGAGGGTCTTAGAATCCAACATGCCGCCAATGACGGAGAGAAACATATAGGGTCTTACAAAGTCGATGGTTATATCACAAATGAAGGAGAAAAGGACACTATCTTGGAATTCCACGGATGTTTCTGGCACGGTTGTACGAAATGTTATGCCCGTAACATGATCAACACCGTAACCGATTGTACCATGGCCGATCCCCACATGAGAACGTTGGACAAGCAACGTTATCTACAAGATCTAGGATATAACTACAGATGCATGTGGGAATGCGACTTTGAAAGACAAAGTAAGCTTGATGAACCACTCAAGTCATTTTTGAACACACTAGACATCGAAGAACCTCTACAACCAAGAGACGCTTTCTATGGAGGAAGAACAGAAGCATTTACGATGTATGCCGAAGCCTCCGAAGACCGGCAGATTAAGTACTATGACGTGACATCCCTCTATCCTTGTATTAACAAGGTCGGGAAAGTTCCCCTCGGCCATCCTAAAATCATCACGGAAAACTTTGACAACATTGAAGAATACGAAGGGTTGATCCTATGCAAGATGTCGCCACCAAGAGATTTATTCGTACCCGTTCTTCCCTTCCGAACCAATGGGAAATTGTTGTTTCCGTTATGCCGCACGTGCGCTAAGGAATCGTCAAAAGAAAAGTGTAGTCATGGCGACAACGGAAGGGCCATCACTGGCACGTGGGTGACTGACGAAGTGAAGACAGCCATCAGGAAAGGATACCGCTTGTTAGAGACATATGAAGTATGGCATTTCGAAAACATTTCACAATACGACACTGTGTCAAAAACTGGGGGTGTATTCACTGATTATGTCAACACCTTCTTGAAGTTAAAACAGGAAGCTAGTGGGTGGCCAAAATAGTGTCAAACTGAGCACGATAAACAGAAATACGTCAAGGACTACTACGACAGAGAAGGGATACTTCTGGACAGGGAAAACATCAAGAAAAATCCCGGACTGAAAAAACTGGCCAAGCTCATGCTTAACAGGTATACAAATCATTTTTTTTTCTTCTTTTAGTTATTTATGATTAAATATAAGTGTATTCTAGTAATTTAAAATGTGTACAAAAACATGTAATCTTGCTTAGAAGTTTTATCTATTTTACATTTTCATCATTTATCATTTGTTTGTTTTTTTTGTTAATATTTGATCACTTTTCTGCATGAAATGAAACAAGGAATAATACATTTGACGCATATGTATTTTGTATTGCAGTTTCTGGGGTAAATTTGGTCAGCGAACAAACTTGATCCAGTCATCTTATATTTCGGATCCGTGCGAGTACTTTGACATGATGTCAAGTGATAGTCAAATTGTGAAAGATGTCAACATCGTATCAGATCAGATGGTGAGGATGGACTGGAATTACAACAGCGATTTTCTGACAGCTTCTGGCCGCACCAATGCTGTGGTCGCCGCCTACACAACGGCACAGGCAAGACTCAAACTGTATAGCTACCTGGAAACACTGGACCGACGGGCCCTTTACTGTGACACAGATTCGGTGGTATTTACGGTCGAACCTGGGCAATGGGAGCCCGAGCTCGGAGACAATCTTGGTGATCTCACTGATGAGGTTGAAGGATCAAGCATTGTGACCTTTGTCACTGGAGGTCCAAAAAACTACGCATATACTCTCTCAAAACCAAACAGAGATGGTGAAATGAGTTGCTGCAAGGTTCGGGGGATAACTCTGAATTATAAAAACTCCCTAGAAATCAATCATGAAACAGTGAAAGATATGGTTTGTGGAAAGAAGGAAAAGGTCACGGTGTGTGATGATCTTAAAATTTGCCGTGACAAACAATCATGTAACCTCTTAACAAAAATAGAAACCAAAGACTATAAAATTGTGTTTGACAAGCGCGTCATTTCAGACAAGTATGTCACTCTTCCATATGGAATGTAAAAATATACTTACAGGTAGAAAACGTTAATTCCACAAAACACCATGTAGACCTTTCATGACACCCGAATTCAACTTACGTAGCAATTGTTTTTATATGATATTGTACCAGTTCTATTGATTGACTATACTTAATTCACATGTACATATGTATAAGTAGACACGCATGTATAATTTTATAATGTGTATAACCGGTATAATTGTTGTGTATATGTATGTTTGATATCCCTGTTTTTTTTCTTTTTATGTTGTGAAATGAAAATTCTTTTAACTCATCTTTTTCCCTCCTCCCAACAAAATGGCGGCCATACAAAGACTAAGAAGGAAAAAAAATACCTATACGTATGTCCTAGACTACTCCTTTGCTGGATTCATTTTTATCAGAATCCCAATTTTGCAAAAATTGGTCAAATAAAATTCGTTCAACAGTTTTTTTTAACCACAAAATATTTGGAAATGTTTGTGATATCCATATATTGGATAATCCACACTCATCAAGCATACTTTTCACATATCCAGGGGATGTAATAACCAGTTTCCCTATTTTCTTCTGCAATTTTGTGAAATAGTAATTTATACAAAATACTGGATATTTTATTATAATCTGCTTCTACAAGGTTTGCCCAGAAAGTGATCATTCTCACTTTTATATTTATTGATAGGGGATATCTCCCCAATTCGTACACCATAAAATTTGGGGTAGACTTATTTACATGAAGTATGAATTCTACATTAGATATGTATGTATTTAACTTTTAATCATAACTATTATATACATCACGGAATTAGATTATCTAAGTCCGTGTATACATTAAGTATAATATAGTTTACACATTTTGTACACATAAATGATGGATTTTATCCTGAAATCATTCAACTCTTCCTCACTAATTTTGTAGGTTATATTTCCTCCAATCATTATGTGTAATATCTCAAGATCTGAGAGAGAGTGTAAATAGACACTAAACAGTATATCCTTGATATTAATTATACAGCACCATAGTTGGTCCCTCAACTCGGAAGTATAAGTACACTGTAGCACTAGATGTGTCATTGGGTCTTGATATAAAAACCCACATTTATGACATAATTCCATGGTAGTCAAGCTACGGATGGTTACAACTATTGTCATTATATATTGTATATATTCTCTGTATTGAGGAAATCGAAGCGCTAGCTTCCATAAAGTATTAGGTTTGAGTTGGTTATGTATTTCTCGAAACCTTGTAAAATCATTATCAACTTTCATACGTTCCTTTAGATTGTGTCCCTCATATTTCATTACAGAATTATATGCTGTGGTTTTCCAATCACTTTCCTTTCGAAAGATTCCAGTTTCAACCNGGGGATATCTCCCCAATTCGTACACCATAAAATTTGGGGTAGACTTATTTACATGAAGTATGAATTCTACATTAGATATGTATGTATTTAACTTTTAATCATAACTATTATATACATCACGGAATTAGATTATCTAAGTCCGTGTATACATTAAGTATAATATAGTTTACACATTTTGTACACATAAATGATGGATTTTATCCTGAAATCATTCAACTCTTCCTCACTAATTTTGTAGGTTATATTTCCTCCAATCATTATGTGTAATATCTCAAGATCTGGGAGAGAGTGTAAATAGACACTAAACAGTATATCCTTGATATTAATTATACAGCACCATAGTTGGTCCCTCAACTCGGAAGTATAAGTACACTGTAGCACTAGATGTGTCATTGGGTCTTGATATAAAAACCCACATTTATGACATAATTCCATGGTAGTCAAGCTACGGATGGTTACAACTATTGTCATTATATATTGTATATATTCTCTGTATTGAGGAAATCGAAGCGCTAGCTTCCATAAAGTATTAGGTTTGAGTTGGTTATGTATTTCTCGAAACCTTGTAAAATCATTATCAACTTTCATACGTTCCTTTAGATTGTGTCCCTCATATTTCATTACAGAATTATATGCTGTGGTTTTCCAATCACTTTCCTTTCGAAAGATTCCAGTTTCAACCAAATTATCTAGATTTTGATGCAACGAATACTTTTTTAATATTTTGACTATGTCGGGGATGAACCGTTCTGGTACGGTCTACCTAGTCGAAACAAAAAGAGTCTTGTAATAAAAACTTTATATACAAGAGACATTGGGTTCATTCTACACAATCTTCCCAAGAATAATAATTTTCTAATGTCTATATATGCCTCAAAAGAGGTCCAACCAAGTAAGGATGTACACATGTCAGTTCTGGTTCTTTTTTCAAACCCTTGAATACGTTTAACAATAAAATGTTGTGCTCTTTCTAACATTATTATTTCGGTTTTTGTCAATTGCCAAAGCTCGCACCCGTATAATTAAGGCGGATGGATAAACTTTAATTTTGATAAGCTTCGCTACTGTTAAAGGGTTGAGAGCACAAGGATGTGCACCGGAACGAACAAGGGACATCGTACCTGATCTTAACTTATTACATGCAAGTGTTGTTCTCTCAAAAGAGTTCTGTTTAGAGTTTAATAAAATACCAACATGTGTAATGCCTTCAGTCTGTGGCATACTACAATTGTAGAGATAAAGATTTTTATACATGTTGTTCTTACTGCTTATAGTGCTGGGATAGCTTGGTCACACTTAAAAATCATAACTTGGCTCCGGTAGAATCAATCCGGTTACATTTTAACCGACTACTGGGTGAAGGGCGACAACTCAATTAAATGTTCTCTTTTGAATAGCTTATTGTCATTTTCACTCGTTTGGGTCTAAATTTGAGATTGTTATATACGGAGTAACTCTGCAGGAAAAATAAATTGGTGATTAAACAAATAAATAAAAAGTAAAATGTTGAGCAAGAGAGTAAAAATCTTAGTGCTTTTAATATCTCAAATACACCGTACAGTTTTCTCAGATTTCAAATTTTCAGTTTATCATATCCGTCCATTCATTTCCTGGTATGATAGCCACAACTCTTTAACGAGCCCCTCCCCCAGTGTTATTGTTCACAGTAACCTCCCCTTAATTTCGTTCTATAGGTAACTGTAGTGTGACGTCAATAGGCCAGGGTACAACCATTGATGCGGCACACACCTTTTTGTACCTACAAACGAGCAAGGGTACAACCATTGATGCGGCACACACCTGTTTTTACCTACAAACGAACCAGGGTACATTCATTGATGCGGCACACACCTGTTTTTACCTACAAACGAACCAGGGTACAATCATTGATGCGGCACACGCCTTTTTTGTACCTACAAGCGAGCCAGGGCACAACCATTGATGCGGCCCACCTGTTTGTACCTACAACCGAGCCAGGGTACAAACATTGATGCGGCACACACCTGTTTGTACCTACAAACGAGCTATTTTTGTACTTTAAGTGTATGATTATAGAACTAAATTTCGCGAAATGGACAATATTTCTTATGTATGAATAGGAGATACTGCCCTATTCATAGCTATTTCAGTAATGCAGATTTTATGCTTATCTAACAATTATCACTATTGATTTGTATTGATAAACAGGGAAATCCTGGACCTGATATATCGTCCAATGATTTAACCATTTTGCATCTAAATATACTCACCTTGAAAATATTGCAGACGATTTCCACATAATATGTATTATTGAATCCATACAACCCTGTACACTCACCCTATCCCACACCTTCCTCCCCCTCTCATATACAATGTATAGTAGGATTACAACTGTATACATACAACCCTGTATACTCACCCTATCCCACACCTCCCCCCTCTCATATACAATATATAGTAGGCTTACAACTGTATACATACAACCCTGTACACTCACCCTATCCCACACCACCACCCCTCTCATTTACAATGTATAGTAGGCTTACAACTGTATACATACAACCCTATACACTCACCCTATCCCACACCTCACTCCCCTTTCATATACAATGTACAGTAGTCTTACAACTGTATACATACAACCCTGTACACTCACCCTATCCCACACCACCACCCCTCTCATTTACAATGTATAGTAGGCTTACAACTGTATACATACAACCCTATACACTCACCCTATCCCACACCTCACTCCCCTTTCATATACAATGTACAGTAGTCTTACAACTGTATACATACAACCCTGTACACTCACCCTATCCCACACCACCACCCCTCTCATTTACAATGTATAGTAGGCTTACAACTGTATACATACAACCCTATACACTCACCCTATCCCACACC